GCTGGCGCTGCGCCGGCCTTGCGTGCCAAAGTTTGGGCGGCGTTTGCAGCTCGCTCCTGCTTTGGCGAGGCTATTTCGAGGCTTTGGAAAGCGAGGCGGTCTCGGCGCCTCGGGCCGGTGGAAGCCCCATTCGTGCTCGCCCTGGAGCTGTGAGAGGCCCTGCAAGCAGGGGCAGCTCTGTGGTCAGAACGGGTAGCTCAGGGCTTTGGCCGATCTGGTCCTGCAGACCTCCAAGGATGGAGATGCACCACTGTCCCGCACAGCCTGCTCCCATGATGTGGTGGCTGCACAAAGAAAAAGGCTTTCTTTCCTTCCAGTCCCTCAGAGCTCTGTCACCTCGGTCCACCGTTGCAAAGAGCCTGGCCCCATCTTCTTGATGACCTCCTCGCAGGCATTAAATTGCTGCTGGTATGTCCCCCTTGAAGCCTTCTCAGGACTAAACAAATCCAGTTCCCCCCACCTGTCCTCACAGGCAGGTGCTCCAGCCACCTTGGTGACAGTCCATGAACTTGCTCTGGTTTATCAGCACCCTTCCTTTCTGGGGAAGCCCCAGACTGGATTCAGGTATTCTAGGTGTGCTCTAAATGAGTGCCAGTGAGGGGCTATATGCTGAGATATTCTCTGGCATACTGGAAATCAGAGTAGATGATTTCACAGATCTTCATATTTTGCTTCATGTAACAAACTTAATGTTCTATCAGACTTTTTTTTTAATATCTTTCTAACAAAAACATCATTCATATAGTTTTACTGATGCAAACCATATAAGAAATTGGTTACATAAGTGCAAGCTGAACAGCTGCTTTCCACATCTCAGTATTCATCAGGCACTGGATGGATTTTCTCTGGAGTCTTGTAAGAAGCTTCTCCCTTTCATGCCTCGGTTTGTCTGTGAAGCAGCATCAGTTTCTTTCCCTCATATGCAGCGATGTTCCTTCTTTCTGAAGTTAACTGCCTCCTTTCCCTTCTGCCTTTCCTCCAGCCTTCCAGGAAAATATTGTCCTTTCTCTGGAAGAGGCTTCCAGTCCTTTTTCTTCCCTGACTTGATAAACTCGGTCCTCAGGGAAGAACGAGGAACTTCTTCAGGCAGATGGGACAGGAGGGTGGTTCAAGTGCTCAGACACCCAGTTGTTAGAGCAATTGATGCTCCTTTGCTGATGGCCTATTTTCCATTTCATCTGAAATATCTCTGAGAAGAAATTTGGATGAAACAGTTTAAGATCCTTTCCGGATCTATTGTCTATACATCCAGTATAGACATCTAGTGGCGTTCAAGTAAAGCAAGCTGCAGTTGTATCACTAACTGGAATAGCCGGTATAACTAAGAAAGTCTTTAGGTTTTAATTATCATTTGTCTCCTGTCTTTTTCATCCTGTGATGAAATGCTGGCTGCAGCTTTAACCCTACTCTCTTGAATGAATGGAATGTGTCATACTAGGAAGAGAGATCTAAGGACATTTAGCTTTTTTTTTTTTAATCTTTTTTAATTTATGCTAGGAAAGATCTAGCTAAACCTGCAGTCTCAAAAAAAATCCACTTACAGGCTTTCAGCATATATATTTATATATATTTAGCATTTATAGGTAAATTACTATCCCATCCAATGTCCTGGGTTGATAGGGGAAAAATATTCCTTTTCTTAATAGAGAAAAATACTTTTTCACATGCTTTCTGAGTTTTTTTTATATGTTCTGGCCTCTTCCCCGGGAATGTGAATTTTATTTTGTGTGTAAAGTCTTGTCTGATGTTTATTTATTTTACCATAACCACCCAGATATTTCACTCAGATTATGCTAACAAAAAATAAAAATTCTGACTGTTCTGACTGCTCATGCTTAAATAAAAATTCTGACTGCTATGAAAGAATTATCGTTATGCATATCTGGGATATTGCCTGAAAAAAAAGAAAAAGAATTATTTTGAGCCAATTTGAGTTTTGTTGCACAGAATGCAGTTCTGTGTTACAGAAACTACCACTTCAGAAAAAAATATTGCTGCTTAGAAAACCTGTCAGGCCATATGTATCTAGAAAGAACATTTTTGGATCTCATATCGTGGCACTTCTGAAGAAGAAGCTTGTGATGCCTTTGCCTTTGGCAAAGTCCATGTATTGCAGGGATGTGTGGAGCAAGCAGGGTCACAGGCAGATGCCTCTAGCAGGCTCTACAGACTCTCAGCAGCAAAAGATTAAGGGTGCCTCAGTTAAATGGGCTTCCAAAGCTGGGCTATTTATCATCGCAGGTGCTTGGGTAGCTGGAAGGATGAAGGTTAGCTGGTTGTCCTTTAACATGATCTGATCAAGTTCATGGATGGAAATGAAATGGTCCTGCTGCCTTAGGAAATAACACTGTCCCCAAAATGCTGACGGAAATGGAAACATGGGTTTGAATCGAAGAGCGCTGCCTGGTCCTGGTTGTGCCTGGCACTCTTCGTGCTGCTGCGAAGAGGCCGGCAGCGGGTTCCCCTCAGTGGTGCTACTACCACAGCTGCCTACCTGTCTTGGAGCAGAAAGTACAAAATTTTGCATCTACATGATAATTTAGCAGTTCTGTAATTTCATATTATGGGTTCCATACCCTAGGGCTGATTTCAGTATCATTCTCATTGGTTCTTCCACTAAAGGCTGTGAAGCTGAACTAAAAAGAAATTAGTATGCAGTTGGCAATAATCTGCCATTCTGTGTTTTTTCCCGAGTTAAACCAACTGTGTGGTATCCTTAGCCTTCAGTCTAATCTTCACTGTGTTTTCAAAAATCACAGCACTGTACTGGAGTCCTCTATATTTTTGTGTTTAAGTGCCCATTCAAGCCCTGGTGGCTGTGATTTTTCACATAAGCTGCTGCTCTGCTAGATGTCTGTATTAAATCAGAACTAATGTTCCTGGACTGAACACTGTAGATTCTGTAAGTAAAAAAAAAATGTGCAACCTTTCTAATACAATATGCTGAGTGATAAATTTCTGATTCAGAACCAGCATGCATTTTAATGTAAACACACCACTTCTTTGCAGCCCTGCATTTCACCTAGTCCCTTAGCACGTTGTAAATTAATACCAGATTGATAAGATTTTTCCATTTTAAAGGGAAGCTTCTTTTGGATCTTTCTTGCTACAGCATATTTTAACCTGCTCTTTTCCTTTTCCCTTTCCGTGTCCCTTTCCCTTTCCCGATATCTAAAGAGGTTACGTAACTGACCTAAATCACTAATTAAAAAGTAGCAAAATTCTGCCTGGCAAAATCTAATTTCTGGATTTAATTTTTGCTTAATTCCAGAACTGCCATTTTATATAACTTTTGTGGACACCAAGAAATATAAATCCTGCAAGGGAAGAAAGGAGGTTGAATTAGTTAAAAATTTGAGAACATGTATTTCAA